GGTTGGAGACCTTGACCCCAGATCCAGCTTCTGGTCTAGACAGGCCTTTCACTCGCCCCATCCTCCACCCCCTACAGCCGCCTTGGAGACTTAAGGGCCCAGCCATCATCCACTCTGCCAACCATGGGCTGTGATTCCTCCCAGGGGTCCCAAAAGCCTGCCCGAGACCTTGCCCAAAAAGAGAGACTAAGGGGATGTGTCTCCACAAGTGATTGGAAAATAGTGGGATGCCTTAAAAATAAGTATTTCAGGGGTTTAAATTGGGTACAGAAGAAATATCAGAGCGGCCTGGATTTTCAGAGGTCAAAAATTAGAGGAAGGTGGAAGTATTCTCTCCAGGCACAGTTTAGAGGGAAAAGTCCTTTGAATAAAAATAGGAAATGTCTTTATGCCTCTCTCTCAGAGTTTAGAGAGTGTGATAAACCTCACACCCGCCCCTTCTTTCACCAAGTGCTCAGTGAAGGCTGGCTGTGTGCCAGGTGCTTTTCTAGGAAAAGGGATATATCCGTGAAGAAAGGATACAGAAACTGCCCTTGCAGGCCTTATATTCTTTAAATGATTCTATGTTATATAATATTGAAATCTAGGAAGCCAGAAGTGTGTTTAATGTTTGTTTTTGTTTAGGGCATTTCTTTGAAATTGTTGCTATTTTTTTTAGCCAATGTCAGTATGGTACAGGTGCCCAGTAAAAGCATTTTAAAAAAATCCTCAAGTGTATCCTTAAAAGGCCCAAAATAATACCTTCAATGTGTGCTTTGTTCGGTTACTTGGCCAAGATCAACAGTTTTAGGACTTCTGGGGAGGAGTATGTCTGTAGTAAAGAAATTGGATGGGGCTTCCCAGGTGGTGCTAGTGGTAAAGAACCTGCCTGTCGATGCAGGAGATGTCAGAGACGCGGGATCTCTGGGTTAGAAGATCCCCTGGAGAAGGAAATGCAGCCTTCTCTGGTACTCTTGCCTGGAGAATCCCACGGACAGCGGAGCCTGGGTCACACAGAGTTGGACAGGACTGAAGCGACTTAGCAGGCATGCTTCCTAAGGGGACTCGCAGACAGTATATAGGAACCCTTCAGAGGCCTGTTTCCCTAACACTTCTTCCAGGGCAGAGCTGGAACCCACGGGGCCCTGGGGTTGGCAGCATATGCCATCTTCCCTTCTGCTGCTCAGAACGCGAATTATTTGAAATTGCTCTCCTCTTTACCAATAATTTTGCTTATTATTTGCTTTTCTCAGCTTGGCAGGAACAATCTGTTTCTTTTCTATTTTCTGCTAATATTATTTTGTTGTATTTGGGTTAAGGAATTATGCTCCCATGTTTAGATCTCCCCAAACCACCCAGGAACTGTCTATCTCAGAACAATTTCCACAGAATTTTTAAAAAATTAGTTTTCTCTTGATCTCTGCCCTTGCCCTGCCCTCCCTCCAAAACATACATTTACATTGATTTCAATCCGGAATCTTTTGCATTTGGCAGGAACTCAATACTTGCATTTTTGAACAATGAATGACCAAAGCCTGAAGCAAAGGCAAAATTATCCATAAGCATCTCTTTTACGCCCTGAAAATTATCTCTTTCACATAATGAACTAAAGGATAAACATCTGAATTCACTTGTGCCATTTTCTGTTCTAAACAGCACTGTTTCATTGATTAGAAGAAAAAAATATTCTTTAAACTTTATTGACATTTTTTTTCCTTTCTCTCACTAATTTCAAATTACGAAATTCAATATATCTAAAAGAGTGATTTTAAATAAGTTAAGAACTGGGAACACATGAGATATTTAGGGATCATTAAAATCCTTCATTATTAAGATACTAGTAGAATTGATAGCTCAGTTGTTAAAGAATCCACCTACAATGCAGGAGACCCCAGTTTGATTCCTGGGTCAGGAAGATCCACTGGAGAAGGGATAGGCTGCCCACTCCGGTATTCTTGGGCTTCCCTTGTGGCTCAGCTGGTAAAGAATCCGCCTGCAATGTGGGAAACCTGGGTTTGATCCCTATTTTGGGAAGATCCCCTCAAGAAGGGAAAGGCTACCCACTCCGGTATTCTTGCCTGGAGAATCCCATGGACTGTATACTCCATGGTGTCGCAAAGAGTTGGACACTACTGAGCGACTTTCACATCACATCAACACAGGGTGCTCTCATCAAGGAAGAATGGGATCAGGTCACCACCATGGTCTGTTCCCTTTATGTATATGAAATCGCCACCATGTCCAATCTGAATATAGAATTCTCTTTACAGCTCTTTACTGAAATGCTCAGGCTGATACTGCAAAAGGCGCCCCCCACCCCGGTCCTAAAGTGTTGACGAGCACCAGCTCCGAGCATGATGTTGGTTGTAATTGTGTCTGTGGGCATCCTGCTCCGTGGATTTCTCCCGTCTGCCGTGTGAAAAGTAATGGATGCATCCACGGGAGAGGGGAAGCTGGCTGTGGCAGGCAGCTCCCGATTTCTGCATGGAATCCACTTTTAATGTAGGTGCTCTTAGGGCTGCTTAATTAGTAAACTCAGACAATCTCGCCTGACACCAGGGTCCCTGGGTGAGAATCCCATTGTAGCAGTGAAGCTGCATCTGGCTCACTGCCGCTTGCATGGCACCCTGTCTCCCTGCCAGCTTTGGGTTAGTGAGTCCTGGTGAGGCCTTCTGCTTATTAGCACGCTTCCCAAACCCAAATCCACCACATCCATTTCAGGTTCGTTTCCCCTAACCTGGCCCAGGCACTCAGGTCCGAGGTCCTCACCCTTGCCCTTGCCCAGGCCAGGTCCATCCACAGGCTTCCCTCCACGCAGGTCATCCATCACTCACACCCACCTCCGCAGAGCTCTGACACGCGTAAGCAGGCAAGGAGGCGGGGAAGAGGCGCAGCTGCTCTGCCGTCTATGGGGACTCGCACTTCACCTGCTCCAAGCCCTCTGTTGTCACTGGCTTAGAAGGCCAGACAGCTCGAGTGCAGGATAAACTCCTATCTGCTCGCGGGCATTGTGGCCCCGAGCCAGCGACAAATCCCATGTGCTTTCAGGGGAGGCCACAGGATTTCCAGGATTTGGCTCTTCCAACAGCTTAGAGGATTCTTTCACCTTTCTGTTTTAGAATTGGAAAAAAAATCTCACTTCAACAATACAAGAGAGAGAATGTAACTCATACCTGTTGTTCTTCAGTCACTCAATCGTGTCCGACTCTCTGCGACCCCATGGACCACAGCACGTCAGGCTTCCCTATCCTTCACCACCTCCCAGAGTTTGCACAAACCCACGTCAACTGAGTTGATTCCAACCATCTCATCCTCTGTCACCCTCTTCTCTTCCTACCCTCAGTCTTTCCCAGCATCAGGGTCTTTTCCAATGAGTCGGCTCTTCACATCAGGTGTGAAGGAACTCACACCTAGAACCTGAAATAGTCCAGATGTAGCGTCATTTACAAACCAATGATTAAGCTACAAGGCAAAGAGTTGCTCTGAGTGATGTTGATGGCTCATCTTCTTACAAACTGGTAAACTAGTCACCATTCAATGAACCAAGGGTCCTGTGTAATTGTTTCCCTTTGCTGAAAGCCCTGGTACCTTTCTTGAAGACTGAAGGGCCTAATGTGATGTTTGATCTCAGTTTCATTTGAAAGAATATTCTTGCACACTATAAAGCCTTCTAGGTGTTCAGCCTTAGATTTTCCTGGGCCTCACTTGAGTGCTGACATTCTGACATGTTTCATGAGGTCTTAAAAACCTTTTTCTTGCCTAAAATATAGAGGAAATGTGTTCTGTGTCTCTCCTCCACCTCCGTTCACATCTGTTGCTTTACTCACTTCCTTAATTTGATTATATTGCTTTTGCCCCTTTTTCATGCTGGTGAATGCTGAGTGACAACTCCAGAATGTTGGCCCCGGTGTCCAAATCTCTCAGCCCTTATAACCATCCTATGCAAACGCGCGATTTCCTCCCCCGGGTCTGTGGCGTATGGACCTTGCATTTCAACAGCTCATTCAGCCAGATGGAATTCCCACGTCCTGACGCAGGAAATGTCTGTTGCACCCGGATAAACCAGAGTCACAGCCTCCACTCCTCTTTGTGTCTGGGCTGGAGGGCACGCTGTGGGGTCAGATACAGATTCCCTAAATGGCAGTCTTGGAATTGTGAAAAAGCACCAGCAAGATGGTTGGATGGCATCACCAACTCCAGGGGCGTGAGTCTGAGCAAGCTCCAGGAGAGGGTGAAGGACAGGGAATGCTGGTGTGCTGCGTCCATGGGACTGCAAAGAGTCAGACACAACAGAGCGACTTAACAACAATGGTCAAGGATTCCTCACCACGAATACGTGCAGCCCCCTTTACCAGTGACGGCTGGTATTTAGGGCTCCTGCCTCATCCTGCGCAGCGGTTTCCTTAGGTACCTGCTAGGGCTTCCCAGATGGCGCTAGTGGTAAAGAACACACCTGCCAACGCAGGTAGACCTAAGAGACACGGGTTCAATCCCTGGGTCAGGAAGATCCCCTGGAGGAGAGCATGGCAACCTATCCTGGTGTTCTTGCCTGGAGAATCCCCATGGACAGAGGAGCCTAGCGGGCTACTGTCCACAGGGTCCCAAACAGTTGGACAGGACTGACGCACCTGAGCACATGCGCATTAACAAGATCACGGTTCTCATTTCTCCCCACTCTGTGGCTGAGGACTGAGGCAGAAGAGATTAACCAATTCAGAGTCTAGTGCAAAAAGTTTACACCTTTAAAGATCTCACCAGCAGATCAAGCCTCCGGAGGGTTTGTGCAAAATACACCTTCACCCAGCTTCCTCCTAGGTAGTTAGTTTGTTCAGTCACTCAGTCGTGTCTGACTCTTTGTGACCCCATGGACTGCAGCACGCCAGGCCTCCCTGTCCATCATTGACTCCCGGAGTTTACTCAAACTCATGTCCACTGAGTCGGTGATGCCATCCAACCACCTCATCCTCTGTCATCCCCTTCTCCTCATGCCCTCAATCTTTCCGAGCATCAAGGTCTTTCAAATGAGTCAGTTCTTCGCATCAGGTGGCCAAAGTATTATCCATGTTTTATTACAGCATTTCTCTAATCATCTTTGAGACAATTGAGAGTTAAAAACTCTTGACAACATGATTGTAGACTGAATTATAGCTCATCTTAGGAGCACCGAACAATAACTGTCTTTCCACTTCCTAGATTCTATTTGTTTTAACCCATTTAGGTGGACTGTGTAATTAGACAGTAAACGCAATTTCTTTGAAGATGCAATTCATTGGCAATTTTGATCCAGTTTAGAATATACACTAAATTAAGAATGAAATCAGAGCTGAAATTTCCTCAAAATAAATGAATATTGGGGGGAAAGGTAGCCTTTTCATAGTCAAAGACTGTAACTAGTTTTTTTTTATCTAAATACACATTAACAATTGCATCTGTTAAATCGAGGCCAGTAGGACTGACCACTCTTCTGGGTCTTTGTGAAGAACAGTCAATAAAAATGTATTATGAAGAATTCTTCGTATAGTTTTACCCTTTTGCACAACATCTCCAAATTTTTAAGCTGTTAATAACGTTCCAAAAATAAATCTTCCGTCAGTTCGAGCTAACACCTTTGTCTGAAATAAATAAATAAATAAATGCATTGCCGACAAGCAGTTAAAAAAATCAAAACTACAGCAAGCACAGGAAGCATCTCTATGGGGCGTCTTTGCAAATGGTAACATAAGTCCCCATGCAAATCCACTTCTGTCAGCTATGTCACAGATGCCAAAAAAAAAAAAAGCAGGCACAATAAATATGGAGTATATAGATATAAAACAGCAGTGATGTCACGCGGGAGGATTTATAAGCTTCTCCAGTCCTTGCTCAGAATGTGGACAGTACAAAAGCCTTTAAACAATTCTATCTTCTTACAGGGTCATGGGACATCACAAAGGCAAATATTTTTTGTTTGTGCTGGCAATGGGTAAAAAAAAAAATTTTTTTCTTCAGAAAAAGCAACCACAGCGTGTGTTATCTGTAACGTGGTATTCAAAGGCTGAGTTTTCAAAAGAGAAAAGTGGATATCAGAGTTGCCATCTGGCAGACTCCCTGGTGAAGTCACCCCTGAATCCTGTGTGCTTGTCACATTACATCGCTGGGCATTCGGCCCCTGCCTCTGAGCGTGGACCCAGGGATGAGGCTACGGCCTTCAAGCCTTGTGGGGCATCTCCTTATTGGCTCTGGGACCTCAGCTCCCAATCATCAGCTTCCAGCATCCTTCCCCCCAACACTCGCTCCCCCTATGTCCCAGCCCCGGCGAGCACTCTTTCCCTCGGCTGTGCTGAGCCTCCGCCCAGCAACCTGCTGTCCTTGGAGGGGTCTCAGTCCTCCCTGGCTTGCAAGTCCCATCCAGTGGGCCCACCAACCACCCTAGTCCCTCCCTATTTTGGAGACGCGTCTCACAGCCTCATCTCCAGGGGAGGGAGTCAAAGAAACCCTGGGCCACACAGCCGCCCGGGGCCCTCATGAACATCTATTGAAACTGATTGATCTAATGTGGGCATCTGCCAAGCTGTCATTCAAGCCAGAGGGGATTTGGACGGAGATGAGGCGAGCATTGTGAAAATGACTCTGTGATCTGGTTCATGGGGCTGGCCTTGAGCTCCTAGGTACAGTGAGGGCAAAAAACCTTGTTTTCTGCAGAAATCACTTCGTGTCAACGGGAGCACGCAGTCTATAAGGCGTGAGCGGACGTTTTTCCTTGATTTGTGCCTAAAACATAAGAGTGAGGGGAGAATATCCCAGCTGTCTCCGGTATTGTGTGAACATATACATGCATTTAAATTACTTATATCATTACTTACAGATGTAATTGTGAAATATGTTCTTTTTGCATTCGAAATGAGGGACTGAACAGATGGTGAACGCTCAGTTTAAAGCAATATGTCCATTAAAATAACCCGTACTGTTGGTGTTTAGTGTAACAATAGTAGTGAGTTCATTACGGCTGGGTTCTGCCGCAATTGCTCGCGCGGGGAGGCAGTGCGCCCGGAAGAGGCTCAGCCTCACGGGCGATGCCCACCCTGGGACGGGCCCTGCTCCACCGCCCAGCCACCAGCAGTGGACTTTCAGAGCTGAGCTCCAGTCATTTTGCTTAGTCTTTTGCTCCCAAACAGGAAAGTCAATAAACAGCTGACATTTACCAATGCCTTGCTTCTGGGTTTTTTCTGCCTCCGCTCTCCAGATGTTCTGAAATGTGCGGCTCCAGATGCGTCACCTCCAACAGGATAAGCCACTGCCTCCGCGAGGCCCCGTCTCTCCTCAAGAGCCCGGGTCAGCCGAGGAGCTTAACAGCACATTGGAGGGACCGTCTCTCTCCCTGGGGCTCAGCAAGGACGTCCAGGAAGCGGGCGTCAGATGGAAGGGCTGGGGGAGTTTCATAATTTACTTGTGGCTAAACAGACCGCAGGCTTCCCAGGTGGCACTAGTGGTGAACCCGGCTGCCAATGCAGGGGAAGTAAGAGACTCGGGTTCAATCCCTCGGTCAGGAAGATCCCCTGGAAGAGGGCGTGGCCACCCACTCCAGTATCCTTGCCTGGACAACCCCATGGACAGAGGAGCCTGGTGGGATACAGTCTGTGGGGTCGCAAAGAGTCAGAGATGACTGAAGTGACTTTGCACAGCACAAACAGACCCAAACCTGACAAAACGCTGCCTCTCACCCGCTCTCCTGCACCACTCCTTACATGTGAGAATTCTTTTCAAGAAAGGACAAGAAATATCCTCAAGCCCTCCCCTCACCCCCCACCATGATTTCCATTTTGGCAACAAAGCTAGGGGCTCATATCCACCTGAAAGCCATTCATGAACGAGCCAGAAAAGTACCAAATCTTCTTCTGAGAGCCCAGATGAGGAAAGAAAGTGGGAGAATTTCACAGTACCGCCTTGGATGAATCCACCAGATGGACTGAGTCAGTCTCTCCACCGAGTCAGTCCTTCCTGTTAAAAGAGGAAACGCTGGCTCTCAGCACCCCCTCCCCAGGAGGCAATGGCCACATGCTGTTCCTGTGTCAGAGGCTGAGCTGCAAACTTCCCACCAGCAGCACATGGAGAAAGTGCATGTGGAACCTGCCCAGCAGTGGGGGGCAGCCCGCGGCCTGAGATGCGTCCTGCAGATCGCAGGGGTGAAGCGAGCTGGTGTCGGCAGGAACAGCAACTGGCCACAGGAAGACGGGCGTGAAGACAGGATGGCCAGGGAAGGGTGGGGCTCATGAGCCGGTTTTCTGGGCGTGCGGAAGGAGGTGGACAGGATGAAGAATACTGGGGGGAGGGGAGAGGAATGGGGGAGAAGCGGTCACATTCTGCAAGGAGGATTCCTGTTCTTGCGCCAGAGCCTCTGGAAGGTGAGGAGCATCTCGCCTTCGCAGGGGAGCGGGGTTCTGCACCTGGTCTCTCCGACGCAAGCATCACGTGCTTTTCACTGTCTCCCACTACTTCCTTGTGGTGTGGCTGCCGCAGGAAAGGACGGAGTGAGTGGGAAAGAAAGGACTGCCCTTCCTGTAGGATGGAGAACGGCAGACCGATCCCTCCCGAGGACTCTCCTGTAGGACGGAGGATCACAGACGGATCCCTCCCGAGGGCCGCCCTTCCTGTAGGATGGAGGACCACACACAGATCCCTCCCGAGGACTTTCCTGTAGGACGGAGGACCACACACAGATCATTCCCGAGTGCCGCCCTTCCTGTAGGATGGAGGATCACAGACGGATCCCTCCCTAGGGCTGCCCTTCCTGTAGGATGGAGGACTGCACACAGATCCCTCCCGAGGACTTTCGTGTAGGACGGAGGACCGCACACAGATCATTCCCGAGTGCCGCCCTTCCTGTAGGATGGAGGATCACAGACGGATCCCTCCCTAGGGCTGCCCTTCCTGTAGGACGGAGGACCACAGACGGATCCCTCCCGAGGGCTGCCCTTCCTGTAGGATGGAGGACCACACACAGATCCCTCCTGAGGACTTTCCTGTAGGACGGAGGACCGCACACAGATCCCTCCCGAGGGCTTCCCTTCCTGTAGGACGGAGGACCGCACACAGATCCCTCCTGAGGACTCTCCTGTAGGACGAAGAATTACAGATGGATCCCTCCCGAAGGCCGCCCTTCCTGTAGGACGGAGGACCGCACACAGATCATTCCCGAGTGCCGCCCTTCCTGTAGGACGGAGGATCACAGACGGATCCCTCCCGAGGGCTGCCCTTCCTGTAGGATGGAGGACCACACACAGATCCCTCCCGAGGACTTTCCTGTAGGACGGAGGACCACACACAGATCATTCCCGAGTGCCGCCCTTCCTGTAGGACGGAGGACCGCACACAGATCCCTCCTGAGGACTCTCCTGTAGGACGGAGAATTACAGACGGATCCCTCCCGAAGGCCGCCCTTCCTGTAGGACGGAAGACCATAGACGGATCCCTCCCGAGGGCTGCCCTTCCTGTAGGAGAGAGGAGCACAGACGGATCTCTCCTCAGGGCCGTCCTTCCTGTAGGACAGAGGACCGCACACAGATCCCTCCCGAGGGCCAGCCTTGCGCGTCAGTCGGGATAAAAGAGGCAGAGACAAAGGAGAGCCCAGTCGGTCTGAAGCGCATGTGACCCTCAGCTGCTGCTCTCTGCCAGCGTCGTCTTTGAAAGATGTTCACAGACAGACACCTACTGAGGCAGAACTTCCTGTGTCCTGCTTTCTGAAAAGCATCACAGGCAGTTCTGTCACAGCTGGGTTAGGGACAGGAAAGCCGTGGTCTGAGTCCAGGCATGCCTTCCAGCCGCCCCTCGAGTGGGAGCCCAACGGTGGCCCAGGTCTCCCTGCAGCATTCCCCCAGCCCTGCCCTGCCACAGGCCCCGCCGCTGGGCCGCCTCCTCCGCACACCTCCTCCAGCTCTCAACTGGTCACTGGTTGAGAGCCACCCGCCTGCTCTTGTCGAATCTCTCCTCCCGGAGGCCCCCAGGTGAGGCATCCTCCAGGGCCACACTTCAGGGGGCCGCCTCTTCTCACCTTCTCTGACCTTACACCACCCACCTCCATAACCATGGAGCTGCGTCAGTCCCTCGCCCATTGGAACAGCAAACCCATTTAGTGTTCCCCAAGCAGGTGTGTACGGAGCGCCGGCACCTTGCTGAGCCCCTGGCATGGATAATGCATCAGGAGGAGCTTCCTGAGCCTCTCAGGTGAGGCTGACGCCCAGGGTCTGAGGACCAGAAGCTGAGACCAGCGCACAGCCCAGCCTGGGCCCAGCGCGGGATCTGAGCTCCTCTGCATAATTTCAGCCCCTGAGGGGGATGGCGAGGGGTCCTTCTCCTTCACCAGCCAGGGCCCCGCTAGTGCTGCCTAACACATAGTGGGGCTGGGGAGTGTTTGGTGAATAAATAATAAGTAAGATTGGCACAGATGGTCCAGTGTTAAGTACCAGAGGCAAAGGGGAAATAAAAGAAATAAGCTGGTAACACCTGCCAAGATAAATAAATGAAAGGAAGTCACCTGGGGCCATAAAAGGAGAGGAAACGGGGATTCTGGGATGTGAGGAGAAAATAGACTATAGACCAAAAAAGGAGAATTAAACAAAAGCAGCGCGGCTGCTGCCAGGCAGGGGCGTCGTCAGCAAACAGCAGGTGAGGCTCGAGGAGGCTCAAGACTGCACGAAGTGATTTTCTCTGAAGTCCTCGAAGAGACGAAACAAGGGCCAGGACACCTGGAAAGCACAAGGAGCCCAGCTAACGGCAGGTGTGCCAGGCTGAACTGTGCGCTCCGAGTCCACGTGGAGAAGCCCCAACCCTTGGGACCCCAGAACGTGCATCTGGAGAAACGACCTTTCAAGGGGCTACTCAGGCAGAGAGGTCACCCGCGTGGGCCCTGACCCGGTCTGAGTGCGTCCTTACAGGAAGAGGAGGTCAGGACCTGGACAAACAGGAACAGCCATGTAAGGACTCCGGAGAAAATGGCCGTCTGCAGCCCCAGGAGAGGGGCCTTGAAGGGACTACCAGCCAGCGGCTCCATCTCAGCCTCTGGCCTCCAGGAAGGTGAGGACCCATGTTTGGCCCATCCAAGCCGCCCAGCATCCCCCGGAAACTGGAGCAGCAGGCGGTGCCGGAGAGGCAGGAGGCGAGGACTGGAAGAGGGAGGGTGGGGCCGGAAGAGGGAGGAGGCGGGGCCGGAAGATGGAGGGCGTGGCCGGAAGAGGGAGGGGCCGAGTCCACGGAAACGGAGGCTTTAGCATCAGAGGGAGGGTCGCACTGTCTGGGTGCCCGAGGGGCAGGCAGGCAAGTGGGGCGAGCCAGGCAGACTCCCCAAACAGGCGGCCGCCCTTTCCCAGGATGCCCACTGCCCTCCACACGGGCCGTCACAGTTGCGCATGACTCTGCAGCACTTACTGGCCCTTCTCTCGGGTCCAGGGATGTAAGGACCCCCCTCAGCTCCCTTCCTGGGGGACACGGAAGGGAATCAACAGGCAGAAATGGGAGAATCAGAAGAGGGGTACCCACCCGGTTGGGGCTGTGGGCCAGCACACAGCTGATGTCTGGCTGTGTTTTGAGAAAGGAGTGGCAATTCAAGAAGCAAGGGAGTGACGTTCCAGGTAGACGGGGCGAGAGCCAGGGTGCCCTGCTGAGTCTGAATGGGGCACTTAGCCCACTTAGCCCCGTTGTCCTCAGGGCACATGGACTAGGAAGCGGTCTGGTGATCCCGGGAGTGGGGGGACTCCTGAGCTGGCACCTCCCCCGTGGGCTCCTCTGCTGGAGACTCCCCTCACCTGTGACTGGTGCACACACCTCTTCACCAGGACTCACTTCTCTCTGATAGTGTACCCCTACTCACCCCTCTAAGGCCCCGTCCAGCTCAGCCATTGTTGTCATTGTTATTGTTCAATCACTCAGTTGTGTCCAACTCTTTGTGACCCCATGGACTATAGCACACCAGGCCTCCCTGTCCATCACCATCTCCTGGAGCTTGCTCAAACTCGTGTCCATTGAGTGGGTGATACCATCCAACCCTCTCATCCTCTGTCGTCCCCTTCTCCTCCTGCCCTCCTCAGTCTTTCCCAGCATCAGGGTGTTTTCCAATGAGTTGGCTCTTCCCATCAGGTGGCTAAAGCTCAGCCATTACCTCCTTCCTAAAACTACATCCCCAACTGCCCACAGACCGAGCTCTTCCATCCCATGCCTGGTGAGGACAGCTCCTTTGGAGCAGTTGTCGGCATGGGGTATGCTGGCCTATGGCACACGCAGCCTACCTTCTCCACTGTGTCTGTGCCTCCGTGACCCCTGGTTCAGGACATGTTTGCAGTGGTGCTGATTAACTGAATAGGTGAACAAAGAACACTGTGGGTCCACAGGCAGCTAGGGATAAAGGGGGATCCAGCAGACAGGGAAAATGTTACAGTCTCTCCATACGCGTCAGGCCTTTCTTCTATCAGAGGAAAGCTTTGCAGCCTGAGCTTTCTTATTCCCACCTAGCTCTGGTCAAGGTTATGCCACCAGTTAGCAGCAGAGGACTTGGCCAACCCTTGGGCTCTTAGCTCATGCATTTTCCTTTCCATCACTGGGGCTGCAGGTGGAAAGAAGCAACTGCACACAGCGATGGAGAGTCAGGACTCCAGTGAGAGATGCAGCCAATGGCATTGATGGGATTTATGCATCAGAAGGGAGAGTAGAGATGTGCAAGGTGGCAGAGAGCACCCTTTCTGTTTACATGATGCTAACAGTGGAAATTAATTTTTTTAGAAGCCAGAAAATTGGCAGGGGCATTTGGAAGATGAAGAAATTCCTGTTCAAATAGTAAGAAATAAAAAATAATGCAATAAGAAGAATGGTGAAGAGAGGGAGATTCAGATGTCAGTGTCAGGGGATTTACTACAAAGGGAGTAAAGAAAAACCATCTAAGAAATTGGGGAAAATCAAGGCCTTAGAATGACAAAGCATGTGCAGAGCATTCTATGCAAAATTAATACATAACAGTTTGTGATGAAAATGCAATCACAATGATACATATGCTATGTAGATAACTTTATGGAAAACCCCCCAAATAATAAAGTAACAGACATGGGGAAAAAAGGGGTCATTGAAATGGAGGAATATAGCCTAAATTATGCCTCTTCTGATACACAAACCTCTTTCTAATGTGTGTGCTTTTTCCCTTATTGTAAATTCTGAAAGACAGGAATGGGCTTCTTCATGTCAGCTTCCAGGCATCTTGAGAACAATATGAATGGAATTGAGGTAGAGACACAATAACTTTAACATTAAAATATCATTTAATAGTGTTGACTTAGAAGGAATGTAAGATTACAGATCAGGTGCATTTAGGCGGATGGGAGATATTGCAATGAGCCCACAGTGGTCAGGCTTAGCGAAGAGTTAAGAGGCACCAAAGCTGAATGGTTCAATGAGAACAGAGCAACTCTCTGTAGAAGAAAGAAAACTCTTGAAGAATATCCTGATCTTGGTTTGTCACTTACTCATGACCATATCTACATGTCTTAAACTCTATTGACAAATTAGGTGGCTTTATGTAAACACATATGTAATTCTCTATCAGTGTAATGAAGGTGAAAAGTGAAAGTCACTCAGTTGTGGCTGACTCTTTGTGAACCCATGGGATTCTCCAGGCCAGAATACTGGAGTGGGTAGCCTTTCCTTCTCCAGGGGATCTTCTCAACCCAGGAATGGAACCCAGGTCTCCCGCATTGCAGGCAGATTCTTTACCAGCTGAGCTATAAGGGAAGCCCATCAGTGTAATGCATNAAAGATTGAAAGTGGGAGGAGAAGGGGGTGACAGAGGATGAGATGGTGACAGAGGATGAGATGGTTGGATGGCATCACCGACTCGGTGGACATGAGTTTGAGCAAGCTCTGGGAGATGGTGATGGACAGGGAAGCCTGGCGTGCTGCAGCCCATGGGGTCACAAAGGGTCAGACATGACTGAGCGACTGAACAACAACAAATGCTGTGTAAACACTCCATCTCATGGATGTATCGGTTTAGTCAACAGATGGTTAGTAAGTGTTCATTATTAGTAAGTGTTCTAGGTCCTTGACTCAGCCCGGGAGCTACAGCCAGGAGCAGGAGACGCAGGAGGATGGAGAGAGAAGGAAATGCAGGATTAGAAACATGGGTACGTGCGTGTCACAGCAGTCGGTGTTTGGTGCATCTGCTGTTTCCGACATTGTAACCAACCCCCAGTGGCCTGTGCAGCATAGGTCACGGCCTGAGCCTGGACTGAGACCCAGATTTGGATGAGCGAGCCAGCCCACCAGGTAGATGAACCAGCTGACCAGGTGGACAAAGGCCCCGCAGCCATTTGCTGGAGGAGATCAGAGTGGAGGGCGAGGGAGGCAGGGATTTCCCCTGTTACACTTCTGGGAATGAGTCTCCATGGCTGGGGTGGGCAGCCTGTATGCCTGGTCCCCTGAAATCCACCATGACCCTAAGAGAAGGACTGTGGTCAGAAGAGAAAGCTCTTTCCAGGAGGGCTTCCAGGAGACGCCAGACACAGCCCTGTCTCCAAAGACAGATGCACAGTGCCTCTCGGGGTCAGAGCTGGAAGCCCATGGAGATGTGAGCCTGGCGTGGATGCCACGTCCGCAGGTGAGGCCCGAGAGAGGCGCCGGGCTCCGGACGTGCCTGGAGCACACAGACGCAGGCTTTACGGTCGCTATGGTGACTGCGACTGTGGCTCTTAACTTGGTTTTGTGCAGGTTTTCTGGGTTCTTGAAGGAATAGTTGCTGGGGGAGGTGCTTTGCACCGGGCTGGAGGTGGTGTGGCAGCAGACGGAGGGGAGGGTTTCTCCGGAGGGGTGGCCAGGAGACCCAAAGGAGGTGGTAGCTGAGAAGGGGGCCTGTCGGGCCCATCCCGGATCTGACCGGACTGGAACGCTAGCCCCAGGAGAGGAGCAGCAGCTGCCCTTCACAGCAGAGTGGGCAGTGTCCCTGCCCCACCCTCAGGGCACCAAGGACTTGCTGAGTTTTACTTTTAACAAGATGATGGATTTAAACAGAATGTTGTTTTAATTTTCATTTTTGTATACTAAAAAGATGGTTTTTTTGCATTTTGATAAATTTTCATTTTTCATCCTCTGTAAAATATCTGTTTATATCTCTTTTGAATTGCTATCTTTATAGTAAGAATGTTAAATAGTAAATTTATGTTCCTTGCAAGTTTTTTTTTTTTTCATTTTTCATTTGCATCTAGTTTGGGTTATGATTTCAATGTAAAAAAAATTTTAACCTGGTGGTCCAGTAGTTCAGACTCAGTACTTTCACTGCCTAGGCCCAGGTTTGATCCCTGGTCGGGGAACTAAAATTCCACAAGCCACTTGGTGCAACAACAAAATTTAACCTTTATAGAGTCAAATTTATCAGTCATTTTCTTTGATTGTAGCCTTTAATTGTGTGACAGCAAGTCCTTCCCTATCTTGCAAACAGTTAGAGTTAATATATGTAGTTCTATATTTTATGGTTTCCCTTTTTACTTTAATCCTTAGTTTATCAGAAAATTTTTGAAGTGTGGTTTGTGGGGAGGAGAGGATGCAACTTTATTTCCTGAATTGCTAATATTTCCAGCCCTATCAGAGAACTTCTCTTTTCTATTCTTTTAAAATTCATCCTTTATTATATTTTTGATCTTCTTTGAAGCTTCTCAAGTTTAGTTATTTTTTAATATGTTTACCAAAAGCCATTTCTACTGTGGTGTTATGTTTGATTTATGGAGGACTTCCAATAATAAGAATATCTGTTCTTTTTTCTTACCACTGCACTTTGAATTAGTTTGCAAAGTTTCAGAAATAATCCTGCTGTATTTGGTCCATTCCATACTGTTTTATTTACTCTGCAAAGATGTATGAAAAGTAGATTTTTTCGCTTCCCCTTTATAGCTGGCTAAATTTAAATTCAGAAAAATAAAGAAGTATTCCAAAATTGCTAATAAATATTAGTTGACCAATCTAGGAAAATGGAATTTCTACACAGTTCCATCCATTGGACTATCTCCCATTCTGTAAATCTCAGAGATATTCCAGGATTTTGATGATTATATTTGGACAGAAATCCCTCTGAATGTAGTTTTTAAAAACATATGCTTTATTATAGGAATTTCCAAATTCACCCAAGAAAGTAGAGAGAATAGTATAATAAACCCCCAAGAAT